TTTTGTTGAAATAATTTTTTTAGGTTAATTTTTGTATGAGGTTATGGCGTTTTCATTTCTTTCTTTTGCGGTAATGTTCTTCTTTTGTGCTTACTTTTTTCCTTTTTTAAAATTATTTTTTCTTATTTTCTTTTTTGAGTTTATATTGTCTCATGGTTTCCTTTCTGCTCGGCTTGTTACGTAAACTCCTCGGAAAAAAAGTCGAAAACTTTTTCCCTCAGAGACTGCAAGCTAATAATTTTCATGGCTCTGCACTGATAGGCCGCACATATCTCCCCTATCCCCCACCGCTATCAAACTGCACTGACAATTTTCGTGAATTTTTTAAAAGCTCTGTAGATATGCGGCAAATGAAAGTACAATGAAGCCACAAATACGCAGACAACCGCCTCTGCATAAATTTGCACACATACACACACACATGTGCATACGAAAATCGCCAATAATGCAGGAGGGCAGCGCACAGCAGCCAAAGCACGCAACATGCGGCATCCAACAACAGCGCTGCCACTGATAAGCGAGCAAGTGAAATTTATGCCAATGTGCCTCCGGTTGCCGCATGAATTTTTAATGTCAGCTTGTGCCACACAGCGCACTCACCCACAAGCCAAATAGACTGCGCACGTGGGTGTGCGCGTGTATTCGTGAAAATTATGTTGGAAAATTCAATTTCATTGTTGAACTTTTGCGCAAATATTTAAGTTCGATGCGTAAGTAAGCACGCAGTGGCAAGGCGAAAGCCCAAAACGGAGAAGGGAGAACAGAAAAGGGAAACCAAAGGCAATCGTGTGGGTCAATCGTTAATAATATGGATGCCGGTTTTGGTTTTCAACGGGTTTGCGGTTATGAATGCGCAATACCGTGTATATTGGTGGGACTCTCTTACTCAAAGACACACATATACATATGTAGCTGTAGGGTAACTGAAAAACTTTGCCACCAGCGACAGCGGTGCAACTGCAGTGCTGACTTGGGTGAAATTTAAATTCACAAAACTCAATTTGTATTCAAATTGCTGCTGAAAGTAAGAATTCAATATTGCAGCAGGTGTGAAAGGAAGAATGTTGAATGTTCAACCATAAAAAATGTATTTATTACTTTTTAGTAGAAACGATTAACTGGAAACAAA